TTCGTTGTGTATTTGGGGACGGAACGCTGCGATAGCGTCAGTTGAAGAAGGTCGGTAAGGCGTTCCTGCTGGACTGTCAGCAGGAGGAGGCACACTTCGTGCAATCCGCCGGTCCTGACAGCGAGTGGGAGCTTTGGCACGCTCGCATGGGTCACCCCAACAAGGACGCGCTTACGAAGACTCAACGTTCCACAATTGGTATCCCACATGTGAAAAATGGGAACGAGACTTTGTGCGGTGGATGTATGAAGGGAAAGAAGACCGTGACGACGTTCCCGTCACGATCGCTAACGAGAACGACGCGTGTGTTGGAACTAGTACACACGGACGTAATGGCCCAATGAGAACGATCTCAAAGGGTGGTGCCAAATATGTTCTGACGTTCGTAGACGACTACTCAAGGTTTGTCGTTGCGTACTTTATGAAGAGCAAGAGCGAGGTGGGCAGCAAACCTGAATTTATCCAAGATGATGTCGCCGACTACGGAAAAGGAACAAGCCGAAATGCGGTCACGACCGTATCGTTCCTTAATCGGGTGCCTCATGTACATCACAACCTGTACTCGGCCGGACATTGCCTACGTTGTCACGCAGCTGTCACGCTTCCTAGAGGATCCTGGAGCGCAACACTGGAAGGCAGCGATTCGTGTTCTGTAGTATTTGAAGTCCACTCGCCATCATGGTATCGTATACAAAAGTGGAACGAGTGGATCTGGAACGCAAGCTGTCAAGGCAGAAGCGTTTACGGACGCAGACTGGGGAAGCAACATTGACGACAGACGTTCAGTGTCTGGCGTCATGGTCATGATTGGGAACGCCCCGGTGGTGTTTAAATCCAAGTACCAGAGGACGATTGCGCTTAGCTCAGCGGAAGCAGAGTACATGGCACTAAGCCTTTGTACTCAAGAGGTACTGTGGACACGTGCCATGCTGAAGGATATGGGTCACGAGCAAGTGGGAGCGACGCAGGTCTGGGAAGACAATCAAGGTGCTATTGCACTTGCAAGCAACGCTGGATATCACGCGAGAACCAAGCACGTGGATATCCGTCACCACTTTATTCGAGAGAATGTGGAACGTTCCACAATCAAGGTGGCCTACATCGACACGAAGCAGCAGTTAGCTGACATGCTTACGAAAGCACTGGGAACGAAGTCGCTAGCGTTCCTTCGCGAAGCAAGTGGAATCAAGAAGAGGAACGACGTGCAGTAGCGGTGAGTGGGAGTGTTGATATGCACCAACTCTGCACGGTTCGGCTAACCGGCGTGACGTTCCAAAATGGACCGGTCCCAAACCGGTTAATCTGGTGGATGGCCAGGAGCACTGAAGTTTAGAGGACAGATTTAATTGACTTTAATCTACTCACTTCGGCATTTGCCTTTAACAACAACAACAATATGACGTAGCGTTAAAATGAGGAGTAACAGGCCGATTTTTGAGATTTCTAACAAATAAATAACAGCAGGTAAAACGTTTTTTTATAAAGCTATCTTTCCTGTGACGGGGTCACACAGCACCTTGCGCTAGAGGAAGTTATCTTCTGAGAGTATACAAACTCTCAGTGAACGGCAGGTCACAGGTCCCCTCTTTATTTAAAGAGAGCGAAGTGACCTAAATAAGGTAGATTGTAAACTGAGTATATTTAAAGGTAGGTTAAGTTTGGTTTTAATACAAACTATAAGTTACCTATAGAAATGCAATGTCGTTTGACCAATGGTTGGTTTTGAACGACCTTAGTACCTTGTACCAAATATCCCGGAGTATGACCTGAAGTGTGAAGTGTCACACTTCATGTAACCAGGGCACACTTAGGGCTACGTGCCCCGTTACATCCTCCCCCACTTAGGTTCTGTTTACCGACCAATCAGAATGAAGAGGTGTTCGTCAAAAACTCTCATTCTCAAAGTCGAAAACTATTGACTTGGCCGCGCGAGCGCGGCGGAGGCTCACTTTACAGTTGAAGCCTCGAGCAGCAACCTGTGCGCTCTTCGTCTAGGTCTCCGATTCGACCGTTACCATGCCTCGTGGCACTGCAGAGAGCGGTGCTAAGACACGCTCCAAGGCTGCGACCGGTAAGACGCAAGCCAAGAGCACTAAGCCTCACGGCAAAGGCTCGGCACTCAAGGAGGCTACTCAGGTGGCCTCCGAGGCGATCGGTTCCTCGGGTGACGCGGCTGTGGCCAAGCGAACAAGCAAGCGCCGCAGTCCGTCGCCCTCGGCCTCGGACAATCGTCCGAACCCTCGGTTCGTGGAACGTGAGTTCAACTCTGGCAGTGAGGACGATGCCGAGTCCGAGAGCACGCATGATGCTCCTGCGGGCTCTGTGGGAGGGCATAGCCCAGTGCCCAGTGAGCACAAGGATGACAGCGTGCAGTCGCTCGCTAGTGATCAAGGTGATCACACCCCCAGACCGTCTGTGCGCTCTGAGAGTCCGGCCGTCAAGGCTAAGTGCTCTCCCAAAGCCGGTGGCGATGAGGAAGAGAATCCTCGCAAACGTCTCTCGCTTGCCGAGGGTCTTGCGCGTGCTAAGGCCTCTAAAGCCGAAGGCGCCAAGCCCTCAAAGAAGCGTACCGCTTCTAAGTCTCCACTCCGCGAGGAGAAGGAGACTCGACACTCCTATCAGAGTATCTTCGACTCCTCGGAAGAAGAGGAGGAGAAGGAGGAAGAAGAAGAGGAGGAGGGTGCTATCGATGAGCCCGGGGAGGCCTCGAATGACCTTGACCAGCAGCAGGAGGAGTTCCAAGCTGCCCAGCGTGTGTGTGGGGGCTCGGTGGTGGCACCCGTCAGCCAGGGAGCTGCCATCAACTCAAGAGGGTATTGGCCTCCCGAGGAGAGCTCTGGGCTGACCTCTTCTTAGAGCTTCTCGTCGCTCCTCGTGGCCTTGTGGGCGACCACACTTCTAGCGGCATCTACGAACGTGCCCTTGTTCAGAAAAAACAGCTGTTCGTTGACAACATGGAGGCTGCTTGGTGTGTGCTTCTCGCGCCACACCGCATCCCTCTCAAGGACTTCACGACTTGTCGTAAGAAGCCCGAGACCCGGGGTGGTATCTATCCTCTTTGGGGATACCCCTGGGTTATGCCCGAGAGCTGTCCCACGTGGAGTACTTGTGAGGACATGTTCTGGGCATGGGTGTCGACTCTTAAGTACTCACCTACGGAGTTACGGGAACTCCATGAAGATCAGCTGCTGTCCCGCATCCTGGACCAGCGTGATCTTCGTGTGAGGTTTGCCCACTTGGTCAACAAGCGCATGCTGCCAAGGGACATCCTGAAGCGCGCGGCTTCTAGCGCTCACAATGCGCACGGGTACGGAATGTATTCATCGTCCGTACCCCGTTCGGGCAAGAAGCCCCGGACTACTTATGAAGCTGCCGCCGCTTCTGTTCCCAGATTGCGACAGCCTTCGGGCAGTCAATCAGGAGCTGTTCAATCGGCTCCCCCGAGTTCTCGGAGTGGGCATAACCCCTCCACTTCACGAGGAGCTGTCGCTTACCGCGACGCCGTTGCTCCTTGAGGATCCCCTCCACGTGGAAGTGGGCTTCTCCATTCCGGTCAAGCAGGGGCGGAGGTGCCCTCGTACGAGTACGAGTACTCGGCGCCTCTTGAAAGTCACTCTCATCCGAGTGCTCCGACTGCGGGTCCGACACAGGGCCCTAAGGTTGACCGCTTTCGTCAACGTGTCCTCGTGCTTAAGATTGCACTTGGCTTTGGGACCGGCGATGATGCGGCCGCGTAGGCCGGGAATCAGGGCGAGCCCGCTCGTCTTGCAGGCCGCTTGGACCTGTTGGAGCGTGAGGTCGCGAGCCTGCACCTGCGAGTGGATCGCCGGGTCTCTTCGTCCGATCTGGACGAGGCCTTTCGGATGATTCGACGGATCGAGGCTTTGTTGCCACGTCCGGAGCCGCCTGCCGCACACTCCCAGACGTACGCGTATGGTGCGTACCCGGCGTACTCAGCGTACTCGGCGTATGACGCCGGGGTCCGTTCGTATGGAGCCCTCCGGCGTACGGTCTTGACCGCAGCCTTGCCGTCCCGACCGAGGCTTAGGTGCCTTCTCCGACGCCCTCATCAACGACTGTGATCGGCCCTCGCTTCGAGGAGCTAGGTCAAGGGGGTCTGCGAGTCCGCAACCCCCTGCGGGTCAAAGTACCGCTTAAGACGTCCAACATAGAACGTCGGGTGCGTCGTCATTAACTCTGGCA